CCACACCTTTATGCCCCTCAAAGTTCCACTCATGTCACTCACTCTTCATTTCCACAGGCCCACGATCACTTCCTGTGTACCCAACCCAAACGCATCTTCTCCAGAATTTTTTTGAACCAGTACACCCATATATCAATCTACTGCCTTTCCTTTACTCACCGGCCTTTGGTGTCCCCAACCCACCTGGATTCACCATGTCCACTTATTGATGATATCCCCACCCACAACCTCCCCAGCCCATTGCCAATACCACTTAATCGTCTATCACTACTGTGAGGTTGAAGATAGATAGAAAATAGAACCTTTTGTTCAAAATTCTGAATTCCATCAATTCTCATTGGTGCTTCTTCCTATTACTCAAGAGGGAACTGAAACCCACCACTCTAGCTTGGTAGATCTGAAGGTAGATAAAATGCCTTAAGACCTAATATTCTCCCTCACTTGGGGCTACCTCTGAGATAGAGTAGAGCAGAACATGTACATGGGTGAGAGAATTGTGAAACAAAATAAGAACAGACAAATACTAGTAGTTGGAGACAAAGGTCAAAAACTTCAAATGTGCTTGCTCAAGAAACTCTATATTCCCAATTTAAACATGTAAATACTACTATGACCATGCACAAGTTGGGGTTTAAGCACACAACCTGGACATGTATTCAGCATAAGGGTGTTGCAAAATTAAAAATGGGTTGGTTCCATTGTTTTTTGTTTCACTTTGTCTGTCCCTATATGCACAAACACACATTCACAATACACAGACCAGGTGGAAGAAGAATGTCCAAGGAAATACTCAACTTCAAAACTGATTTTTAATTATCTGAGTGACCTACAGGTTAACAACTTCCCCTGAATGTTGAGAAGGCTACAAGAGACTAAAGCACACTAAATAAGACTAAGAAAGATAAACAGTATCTTCTGCAAAGTTCTAAAACAGTATATACTAATACATCATACCATTGGGGAAGAATTAGCATTAGATAATTGTTTATTTCAAACAACATACTAAGCTGAGCACTGAACAAATTAGCAAACAAAATCTAACAGACAAAAGACAGATAGAAGCAGGTATGGCAACCTGGTTAGGTTATTTCTTTTAGAGACAAAAGATAAATTCAGACTACAAAGGTAGGCAGGGAGTTCGATCTGTGGTACAACAATTACAAAAATCAGCTCAGAAAAGGTTTTCCAAGACAGAAAGTCTGTAAGAAAGTGAAAACATATCATGTGACATTTCAGTTTCCTAGATCTCAGTTAAAATATTACACAAAGTCAGAAGAGTTGAATGAAATTCTGAAGAAAGAGCAAGTGAGAGTGTTTAAATAACCTATGGAGCCAGAGACACAAGATGGGTGAGGTAATACATTTTATTGGACTAACTTCAGTTGGTGAGTGAGACAAGTTTTTGAACCACACAGAGCTCTTTTTCAGACCTGGGAACAAGGTACTCCAAGCTAAACAATCTGTTCCAGCTGGTATTTTGCTGTGATGCTCGGAGTACCCTTCTCAACACCTGAAGAAGAGCCCACTATTAAAATATTTGTTCCCCATGTAGGTTCTTGGACTTCCTAGTCATGAAGTACAAGCTGGTGGGTGTGCTGGAGAAAAAGTTTCTTGGATTGGAGAGGCAAATAAAGATGCTACTGAGAATTAGAGAAGCTGAGGACTTCCTAAACAGCCAGGTTTGGGAAATATCAGTATACCAGGTTCAAGGAAAAAAGGAACTGGCAAGAGAGAGAGACAGAGAGGAGTCCTGGCAGTTTGTAACCACCAGAGGTAAAAGGTCATGGCAGCATTCTACGTGGCTGGAGATGGACAAAAAAGGGCAGGCAGTGGCCACCAGAGAAAGAAGGACCAGGAGGAATGCCACACAGCTAGAAGTTTCCAATCAATAGCATGTCCTCAACATGACAACTGTGGAAGATACCTCTCAAGAGCCAGCTGGTCCAAGGGAACGGAGAGACGTACAGGACACAACTATGAATGGCAGCTTGGCTACACCTGTATGAAAATCAAGCTTGCACACAGATCTCCAACATCCAATAAAGACAGACTATACTTGTTAGGGATTCAATATTCAGAAGAATAGAAAGAACTCTCTTCAAGGGACAGGTGGACAACAGGAAGGTGTGCTGCCTTCATGGAGCAAAGACACAAGACATCACTCTAAGACTGACAATGCTTCTGGAGTTGACGGGCATGGATCCATCACTGATGTTTCATATCATGTCACATGATATCTCCTGGTTAATAGCTTACTTGGAAGTGCATTGAAGAATAATAACACCTAAATGATCTTCTCTGAGAACCTTCCTGAGGGAAAAGACGACAGGAGGCAAAAGAAATGCAAGTGAACTGCTGGCTTGGTAAGTGGTGTAGGGCTTTGGTTTTGTGAAACATTGGTCCACCTTCTGTGGGGAGAGGGAATTGTATAGTTTAGATGGCTTCCACCTCAGTAGTAGGGGAAACATTTTCCTTGGGACCAGACTGACTAGAGTAGTTAGGAAGGCATTACATTAATAACAAAAGAGGAGGGTAAAAAGATGGAAGATATAAGCATTCATTTAGCACTAAATCGAGATCCTGAAAACAAAATTCATCAAGGAACTAAATTCTTTAACTGCCTATAATCCAACGCTAGGGTAACAAACAAGAGGAACTAGATTAGTTCACTATGACCATAAATTCAATCTAGTTGGTATTGCTGAAACCTGGTGGGATGATTCACATAATTAGAATGTTAAAATCAATGGTTATAACCGATTTAAGAAGAAGTCTGCATTGGTTAAAAAATTATTTGTTTAGAGGGGAAGTTTAAATTTAAAAACAACATAACAAATGGAAGAAAGGGGATGTTGATAAAAAATGAACAGAAATTAGAAGCTAAGAACTGTAGAAAATTGATAAAGGGAAACAAAGAGACACAAAGATAAATCTATGGGAGGCAGGGTTACAGACAATAATATATTAGGAACAAAAGAATTCTGACAATGGCACTGGCCCATCACTAGATGGAAATAGTAGAACTGACAGTAATAAGTAAGATAAGGCAGAAGTGTTCAATAAATATTTCTATATTGTATTTGGAAAAAGAAGATGATGTAGTCTCATCACATGATGATGATGATAATACTCTTTCTATGCCAACCGTAAATCAGGAGGATGTAAAACAGCAGCTATTAAAGTTAGATATTTTTAAATCAGCAGGTCTGGATAACTTGCAACCATGAGTTTTAAAAGAGTTAGCAGAGGTGTACCATTAATGATGATTTTCAATAAGTCTTGGAACACTAGGGAAGTTCCAGGGGCACCAACAAACAGACATGTTTCTGCTGCTTACCCATGGGTCCACAGCCCAGCTATACATCTGTTATAGACAGAAAAAAAACCGAACTAGTCAAACAAAGAACTCACAGATGGAATAAATACACCAGCCACCAAGTCCCGCTATCTCCAAGCACAGAGTCTGCAGGCTACACCCTCCAAAACTCCCGTTATCTGCCTCTGTTTTACACCCATGGTCTGGAATAGCCTCCACACTATTTGCAT